AATGTGCTGTGCTGTGTGTGCCTGCAGGTAAGAAAAGCTGGGAGTGCAGTCCCTCTGCTTTGATTGCTGTGTCTCTTTGGGAGTGATTTTGGAGGGGAATCAGGGAGCGATTTGGTTCGAAGGGGACCTTCAAAGGCCAGCCTGTCTTCCGTGGGCAGGGGCACCTTCCACTCTCATCCCCAGTTGCTCCAAGTCCCGTCCAGCCTGGCCTGGAACACTTCCAGGGATGGGGCAGCCTCAGCTTCCCTGTGCAGTGTGCTCTAATATCTCTCCACTGGCATCATGACAAATGTTGTCAGCGTGTTTTGTTGGACGATGGTAAGCAGGACCTGGGTGAAAAGGACATTCTCAGAGGTGCTGGGAGAAGGAGGACTCGTGCGGGCACCTCCAGAGACAGCGGGAACGGGAGCGTGCTGCGGAGGAGGGAAATTCCAGGGGGTGGGTGCTGAGAAATTTGTCCTTCCCTTGCCCTTTGCTCTGCACTTAGCAATGGGTCGAGTGCAGAAGTTTCCTGGGGACCCTGGGAAATGATGCCGGGTCTGCCAAGAAAAGTGGGGACAAAGGAGCAGGACCTGGGTCTGCCAGCGTGGGAGAAACAAGGGACGGGTCATCCTCTGCCTCCAGGAGGGAGGGCAGCAGGAAAGGCCACGGACTAAAGCACTGAAGGGCCGTTCCCCAGGGAGCCCCTGCCCAGACCTGAACTTGCTTCTGCACTTGCTGTCCCTTTCCCAGCGGAGCCGAAGCGTCGGGTGCCGCTGCCGGGGGGATGGAGCTGCCAAGGACAAGCTGGGAGGGTGTTTGCGAGGGAAGGGGGTAGAAGGAGCTCTTGATGTGCTTTTTTTACTTCTTCATCCCACAGAATTGCCACGAGAGGAAATACTTCAGAGGGGCTTCCCTCCAGATAAGGCCTGAAGATGCCAGGAGGTTTCAGCCGGGAGGAAAGGAGCTGTGGAAGAAAAGCAGCCTAAAAACAGCCAGTGGGGATCATCAGGTTTTCCAGCCAAGAAGAACAAGGAGAGAGATGAGGGAATCGGGTTCCAATTCCTAATGCTTTGGTGGGTGCAGGAATGATTTCTGTGTGTTTTCCAGTCCCTTTGGATTCCTGAGATGATTTTAAAATGATGGCTTTAGCAATCAACTAAATCGCAGATGTTGTTTTTGAGAGGAAATGATGCCAAAGAAATGCAGAGAGAGAGCATGGAATCATCCTGGGATCCTGGAGTGGTTTGGGTTGGAAAGGATCTCAGGGATCATCTCCTTCCACCCCCTGCCACAGGCAGGGACACCTTCTAATAGACCTCCAGCCTGGCCTTGGCCACTTGCAGGGATGGGGCAGCCACAACTTCTCTGTGCCAGGCCACCTCCCCACCCTCCCAGGGAAGAATGTCTCCCTTCTGTGCAATCTTTCCCTTTCTTCTCTGCAGGAAGTGGGCTGGGACAAGGGAATTGGCTCCCACGAGGCCGAGGATCAGAGCGGGCTGTGCACAGGGGACAACTTCCACTTCCGAACGGGGAAGGGCCCCTTCGTGCCCACCCCTGGCAAACTGGGACAGAGTAACATCTGCCTGCAGCTGGCTGGAGTTCCCGTTGGCTCTGGGCTTTCAGCCCGCCGGGGCTGCGGCGGGAGCCGCGCGGAGGGAACGGGGGCCGGGGCCGCGCCGAGGGCCGGGGCCGGGCTGAGCGGGCGGGGCGGGGCCGCAGGGCCAGGCGGGCTGGGATTGGGCGGAGGCGCTCGAGTGCTGATTGGGCAGCGCTGCCGGCCCGCGGTATAAAGGGCCGGCGGGGCAGGTGGGGGCGGTTGTGTGTGGGGGCTGAGGGTGCGGCCCCGCTGCTGCCCGGGCTGCGGAGGGGAGAGCGCCTTGGCCGCTGGGTTTGTGCACCGGGGCAGCCGGGGGCGTTTAGGGGCGCCTTGTGCTGGGCGGCGGGGCCCGGGTAAGCCCCTTACCTGCCGGGTAACCCCGGGGGGAGCCGTGGCAGGGCTGTGGGGCCGGTGCTCTCTGGGTGTTTCAGGCTTTGCCTCGGCATCCCAAAGGCTTTCCCCGTGCAGGGTTAGGAGGCAAAGACTGGTCTCAGTTTCTTGGTGCTGCATTAACGCTTTTTGCTCCTTTTCTGTCCAGTCGTGCCCTCCCTGGGGCTCAGCTCAGGTCCGTGCCCAGCGGCTGGTGGAGTGTGGCGAGTTGTGCTTCCTGCCGGGCGGGAGCTGCCTTGGGAAGCTGCTCTGTCCCCACGGCTGGGCCGAGCTGGGAACTTGGACAGGGAAGGGCAGGGCCCGTCCTGCCCGTGAGAATTGGGTTTGGCTGGGGGAGGATGGAATGGAGTGTGTGCCTGTTAACTCCAAGGAGAGCCAACAGCTGGGAGAGACCCCGAGCAGGTTTGGTGCCACGAGAGCAGCTTCAAAAGACCTTGAGTGTTGGAGAAATGTCCAGGAGACCTGGTTCCTCTTTTGCAAGGAGGCAGTTTGCAAGGACAGGGGGGGTTGCTGTGCTCTCTAGCAAAAAAAGGTTTCCTTGCTCTCTCAGCAGGATGTCGAGTGCCACCGTGTCCCTGAGGTCACCCTTTCTGCTGTTGGGAGAGCACGAGGCGGATGGAGAGGATCCCCAGGCATCTGCAGGAACAAGGGACTTGTATGACTCCAACTTGCCTACTGCAGCTGTAGGATGGACTTGCAAGATACCACTGGGAATGTGCCAGCACTCCTGCTGGAGTTTTATTATGCTGTATTTGAACACAATGAGTAAAACTACAGTCGGGTCTGTTCTGGAGTGTGTTACACTTGTCCTTCCCTCTGTTTTTTTTCTGTTTTGGAAAGCACGGTCTGGGGTTCCTGGGCACTTCTTATTAAATGATACTATGAAAATAATTTTGTACTGAAAGGGGAAAGGAGTTGTCTGTGAAAGTTCAGATGTCAATGATAAAAACCTTATGTGTTTTTAGTCAGTAAGCTCTTAACATACCTTAGTGTGTAGGAATGCCTGGCTTCTAAAACTCACCAGCTGAGTCTTAGAGGCTCCTTTGAAGAGCTGATTTCAGGCAGGCAAATTGCCCCCCAGGAGGGACTCTGTGCCTGCTCTCCCGTGGCTCCAAGGGATCTCTGGCCCTTCACGCCGGCACCGAGATTTTCTCGGGAAGGGCCTCAGATCCCCGGACCAGTCTGGGACACAGGCAAGATCCCCCTGCATTTTGGGACCAAATTGGCCCCTGGAGGGACAGTGCTGTTGGTGCCCCCCGGGTTGGGGCACCCCGAGGACTCCAGCGCGCACCGAAAGGATTATTCGGGGAGATCCTCGGGGTGCCCGGCCCTGGGGAGCTCAAAGCAAGGTCCCTGCCATGGATTCAGGCATTGCTGAGAGTATCCCAGGGGTCCCTGTCCCTGCTAGACAGGGAGCTCTCTAATGGGCTGTAATTGGGTTCTAAAAGTGGTGCTCCAAGTGCCAAACAAGTGTGGGATTGGGATTAAGAAATGAGCAGTGAGGGTGCAATTGGCTGTTTTCTCTGGAATGTGACTGTGAGAGCTGCAGGAGTGCCAGGTGTGTGTTCCAGTCCCCAGCATTTGGTTTGCACATGTCCTGCTCAGACACAAGTACAATTTCCTCAGTCCTGAACACAGCAGAATGAGAATTATGGACTGGCAGTGTTAAGGTGATTGGTGTGACAGGGGTCAAACTGGGAAAACATTGGGGAATTCCTCAGTTTGTGTTTTTGCCAAACTCACCCAAACCTCTGCTAGGAAGTGATGGGCTGGAAAAGTTGAGGCAGAAATGGAATTGAAAACTGGGGCTCTTGACACTGTAATTGCTGAAACTAAATGTGTCCAAGCAGCAGCTCTTGTTGTGCAGGGAATAACTCCTGTCAGCAGCAAGGCCCTGACTGAAGTGGCAGCTGCAGTTGTTCCTGTGGTGTGGGCCAGTGGAGCTGCAGGAGAGTGGAAGAGGGCAGAACCTGTAGGTATTACCCCTGATGTGGGATCTCTATGGGTAAGGCCAACCCAGTATCCTTTAAAATCAGAATGCCAGACTGGATTGGTTGCAGGAACAGCTAAATTGGCTTCTCCTGGTTTGCTTGTAGGACGTGAATGCAAGAACCTGCCAAGAAAACCAGTGGACAAGATGATTGATTAGTGCAGGACCTGAGAGAAGCACCTTGAATGACAACCTGGAGGAGTTTCCAGTATTGGATTTAAAAGATGGCCTTTGCATCTCCTTGAGCAAGGAAAGCCAAGAAAGCTTTGCTTTTGCAGGAGAAAATGGGGCAAGCAGGCAGGAAGAAGAGAAGCCCCGTGACTCCTCCCTGAGCCCCAGACAGCCCATGAACTGCCTTGCTGGGAATGGTGGGACGGGCTGGACTCTGCATTGCTCCCTCGGGATGTGTGGTAAGACTGTTATGGCGACTTTTTGAATAGATGGTGCAAGGGCAGCCTTTAAGCAGCTGAAGCATTCCCTGAGGAGAGCTCTGGGTCTGCCAGATGTGTCAGAACTGTTGGAAGCATCTTTGGTGGGGAGGGCAAACAAAGGCCAAGGTGTGCAGTGACCCCACTGAGAAGGGACTTTCAGTTAATGGCATCCCTGATGGTGAACTTTGTGGGCTGTTCCCCCTGTAGGGCAGGTGATAGTCCCAGCTCCAGTTATGGGAAAAATGGTTAAAAGGGAGCCCCAAAAGCTGGAAGTCCTCCTGGAGGCTCCTGGCAAAGAGAGTTTGCTGCGTTCCCCCTGACAGAAGGACAGTGATAGCTTTTGAGTGCTGGTAGATCCTTTTAATAGATAGCCTTGAGTGTGTCCTTGTTGCACCAGTAGGACTTATCAAAGTCCCCATATTCCAGGAGATAGACACATTGAAGTTTAAAATATTCTTCCTAATCCTTTGTTGGCTTGAGGCTCTCCCCTCAGGAACTGCAGGAACTCCTGGTGCCGCCTGGGCCGATGGATTGGACGCCCCAGCCCCTCCGTTCCTGCCCGGCCACTGGGGCCGTGTCCAGTGGTGGCACTGCCAGCCCTGCAGGTGAAGTGGGAAGGGCCTTTGCAGGTCTGGTGGGTCACATTTATAGCAGGTAAAGTTGCAGTAAAAGGACCTGGGGTCTGTTATTCTTGAGTTCAGAAAGCTCCTTTTGATTGGTGAGCAGGACAAAGTGGATCCTTAAGAGTTCCCATCCGTGTTTGTGTCTCAGCCTGTGTTAGGATTCAGGGCTGTAGCTGTTGTTGTCACTGAGGAGTCAAACTGTGCTTTAAATAATGAGACCCTGGCCTGATGGCCCAGTGTTAAGAAAAAAGGGGGAATGCTCTCTGAGTGTTGAGATGTAACAAGGGCTAATCCTTTTTGCAGTGGGATGGAGCCTGGAAAGTGCACAGAGCTGAGCCCAGGGATTGAAAGGGACCAAGCAAGGGAGGTGAAGAAGGGAAGTGAGGCAGCAGGCAAGCAGCACCAAGTTGCTGTGTAAGCAGGTGAGTTGTGTTGAGGTTCCTCAGGCAGGCACTGAGGACTTGGAGGGCTCCAGACAGAGCAGACCTGGGAAGGCCCTCGGTGAAGCCCCTTGGAAACCTTCTAAGGGTAGGTGTGTATGGTGATAAGTGTTGGGAAATGTCCTGAATGTGGAACAGGAATGCAGGGAAGGAAAATGAGCCCTCCTGTAATGCTGACCCCTCCCATCAGCTGCAGTGGAGACCCCTCCGTGTGCCCTTTGGGGGAGCTGATTGTCAAGGCACCCGGTGGGCTGGGATAATTCAATATCATAGAAATAAAAGATTGCCTGGCTTATAAAAGTTGTAAATTGAGTCTTAGAGGTTCCTTTGAAGAGCTGAGTTCAGGCAGCAGAATTGCCCCCCAGGAGGGACTCTGTGCCTGCTCTCCCGTGGCTCCAAGGGATCTCTGGCCCTTCACGCCGGCACCGAGATTTTCTCGGGAAGGGCCTCAGATCCCCGGACCAGTCTGGGACACAGGCAAGATCCCCCTGCATTTTGGGACCAAATTGGCCCCTGGAGGGACAGTGCTGTTGGTGCCCCCCGGGTTGGGGCACCCCGAGGACTCCAGCGCGCACCGAAAGGATTATTCGGGGAGATCCTCGGGGTGCCCGGCCCTGGGGAGCTCAAAGCAAGGTCCCTGCCATGGATTCAGGCAGTGCTGAGAGTATCCCAGGGGTCCCTGTCCCTGCTAGACAGGGAGCTCTCTAATGGGCTGTAATTGGGTTCTAAAAGTGGTGCTCCAAGTGCCAAACAAGTGTGGGATTGGGATTAAGAAATGAGCAGTGAGGGTGCAATTGGCTGTTTTCTCTGGAATGTGACTGTGAGAGCTGCAGGAGTGCCACGTGTGTGTTCCAGTCCCCAGCATTTGGTTTGCACATGTCCTGCTCAGACACAGGTCCAACTTGCTCAGTCCTGAACACAGCAGAATGAGAATTATGGACTGGCAGTGTTAAGGTGATTGGTGTGACAGGGGTCAAACTGGGAAAACATTGGGGAATTCCTCAGTTGGTCTGTTGGCCAAACTCACCCAAACCTGTGCTAGGAAGAGATTGATTGGGAAAGTTGAGGCAGAAATGCAGTTGAAAACTGGGTCTATTGACACTGTAATTGCTGAAACTAAATGTGTCCAAGCAGCAGCTCTTGTTGTGCAGGGAATAACTCCTGTCAGCAGCAAGGCCCCCACTGAAGTGGCAGCTGCAGTTGTTCCTGTGGTGTGGGCCAGTGGAGCTGCAGGAGAGTGGAAGAGGGCAGAACCTGTAGGTATTACCCCTGATGTGGGATCTCTATGGGTAAGGCCAACCCAGTATCCTTTAAAATCAGAGTGCCAGACTGGATTGGTTGCAGGAACAGCTAAATTGGCTCCTCCTGGTTTGCTTGTAGGACGTGAATGCAAGAACCTGCCAAGAAAACCAGTGGACAAGATGATTGATTAGTGCAGGACCTGAGAGAAGCACCTTGAATGACAACCTGGAGGAGTTTCCAGTATTGGATTTAAAAGATGGCCTTTGCATCTCCTTGAGCGAGGAAAGCCAAGAAAGCTTTGCTTTTGCAGGAGAAAATGGGGCAAGCAGGCAGGAAGAAGAGAAGCCCCGTGACTCCTCCCTGAGCCCCAGACAGCCCATGAACTGCCTTGCTGGGAATGGTGGGACGGGCTGGACTCTGCATTGCTCCCTCGGGATGTGTGGTAAGACTGTTATGGCAACTTTTTGAATAGATGGTGCAAGGGCAGCCTTTAAGCAGCTGAAGCATTCCCTGAGGAGAGCTCTGGGTCTGCCAGATGTGTCAGAACTGTTGGAAGCATCTTTGGTGGGGAGGGCAAAGAAAGGCCAAGGTGTGCAGTGACCCCCCTGAGAAGGGACTTTCAGTTAATGGCATCCCTGATGGTGAACTTTGTGGGCTGTTCCCCCTGTAGGGCAGGTGATAGTCCCTGCTGGAGTGATGGGAAAAATGGTTAAAAGGGAGCCCCAAAAGCTGGAAGTCCTTCTGGAGGCTCCTGGCAAAGAGAGTTTGCTGAGTTCCCCCTGACAGAAGGACAGTGATAGCTTTTGAGTGCTGGTAGATCCTTTTAATAGATAGCCTTGAGTGCGTCCTTTTTGCACCCTTAGGACTTATCAAAGTCCCCATATTCCAGGAGATAGACACATTGAAGTTTCAAATGCTCTTCCTAACCCTTTGTTGGCTTGAGGCTCTCCCCTCAGGAACTGCAGGAACTCCTGGTGCCGCCTGGGCCGATGGATTGGACGCCCCAGCCCCTCCGTTCCTGCCCAGCCACTGGGGCCGTGTCCAGTGGTGGCACTGCCAGCCCTGCAGGTGAAGTGGGAAGGGCCTTTGCAGGTCTTGTGGGTCACATTTATAGCAGGTAAAGTTGCAGAAAAAGGACCTGGGGTCTGTTATTCTTGAGTTCAGAAAGCTCCTTTTGGTTGGTGAGCAGGACAAAGTGGATCCTTAAGAGTTTGTGTCTCAGCCTGTGTTAGGATTCAGGGCT